TCACATACTTTGGGCTTGTTGCCAGGAGGGATCAGTCCTTAGAGAAGGACATCATGCTTAGAAAGGTGGAGGCACAGTGCAGGAGAGGAGGACCCCAGATGAGATGGATTGACTCAGTGACTGGGGATATAGGGGCACGTGTGTCAGAGGCAGTGAGACTGGCTCAGAATAGAGCAGGGTTCAAAGCTATTGTGCATGGATCACTATGAGTCACAGCTGCCTCGACCTCACATAACAACAATGGGTGTATTTCCTCAGAAATATCAGCATCTCCACTACCACTAGTTGTTTCCCTTCTGGTGGCACAACTCGAAGGGAGCTGTGCTGACCCAAAGGGGGAGCCTCTCTGGGGTTTGATTCCACCAGTGGCTTCCTGGAAGAGGGGCAAACGCATCCCCTGCACTTTATAGCCTCAGAAACCCAATGTGGAGTCAACTCTGAGTGGGAACTGACTTGAGGGGGATGAGCTGAGCTGAGCTCCGTGGTCAGGTACTTCCTGACACTCTAGTAGGCTAATGGCATTGTGGAGGATGCGTCTCTTTGGTCTGACTTCCTGACTTCCCTCAGCTCAAAGCCTGGCTGGCTCTGGTCTTTCCCCATCTCACTCGAGGTTCTTGAAGGGTCATCTTCAAACCTGGAGGCTTTGGGGAAGTGCAAACACACCAGCTCTGCTCAGGTTCAAACCTGCTGCCTGCATCCCGGAGGGGCAGGTAGGGCTGGGACAGGGACTGTGAGGACCCTGTCAGGCCCCTCTCAGGCTGTTTTACATGTGTCTACACTTGACTCACAGGCCCTCACAGAACCTCCCCCACACTCACTATCATGTCAACTGCAGGGGGCCCACAGTGTGAGCTGCACTCGCTTGCTTTTCCAATGGGTTTTCTCCTCTTGTTTAAAATCCCATACAATCTAGAAGTGACACGAGCAGGGTTGCTAAGGACCTGCTGCTTCAGGTGCCTCCTGAAGTGGCCTTTCCCCCTCACAGCAGCCCAGGATGGGCAGGGCAGAGATGAGCCTAGTGTGTGTATCCCCATTCCTTACCCCCCTGTTATTTGGATACCTGGTGGGAAGGGCCTGCCCATGAAGCAGTTACTTTACTTGTGACCAAAGCGTGCCAGGCAAGCCTGCCTGGGAACTGGGTGTGTGTCTGCTCGCCTGGGGGCTTCAGCCCATGTCTCCCTCAGAGCCTGTGGTTCCAGGTCGGATCTTCAGGAGGACCGAGCAGCCTACTGGCCTGAACTTGGATGCAGGGTTGCAGCTCTGCCACTTGGTCAGTTTCTTGACCCTCTCAAGTCCTGTGTCCCAGCTGTAAAGTAGGACTGGATGATGACCTCAAGCTCTTATGGGGGAAGGAGGCAGTGGACAAGCTGTAAACAGGCTCCCACTGCAGCCAGGACTGGCAGGATGCTGGTGACACTGCAGTCACAGATGGGGCGGCCAGACACCAGAGGTCTTTGAAGGGCAGGGCTGGAAAGGTTCACTCTGGTGCTGAGGTGACACCTGTACCACAGCTGGCTTTCTAGAACCTTCTGCAGGTTCTGGGGTGCCTCCCTCCCCTCCCCTTTCTCTCCAAGATGCCCTCCCTGAGACCTAGCTAGAACAGCTTCCTCATAAGCATTTCACTCAGAGGCTGTGTGGGGCTCTGGGGAGGGGAATGGGAGCCCCAAGAACCCCTCTGTGGGCCCCTCCCCAGCGCAAGGCTGCAGGCAAAACCCCTCAGGATAGGGTGACAGATGACACAATAGAGAGGTCCTTGCTTATTCGGTTTATTGGTCCTTAGAATTACATTTTAATTACCAAGGTAAATTCACAGACACAACAGCAGGTAAAAACCATGTAAAATAATAAAAAAATAAATTGAAGGCTACTTTTATATATTTACTGAATTAAGTAGTGTAATAAATACTATAATAAGCAAAAAGCTTCAATCACACAATTCAGTTTCACTGAAGTTACAGTAGTGTTTGTAAATAGTTTTAAAATTTAAGTTACAAATATTAAAGCACTGAAAAAACTAGTAGAAAAGTGAATTTTGGCACGTAAGTGAGCTCTTCTGTCATTAGTATCGGACAACCTGGGACAGTGAGGAGGCCATTTCTCACCTACTTTTTGAGGTACAACTATCCAACTAGGTCAGCAACATGGCTGAAATACTTAAAAAGTGTACAATCTTCAAGTTGAATTTTTCCCTTTTGAGAAGCCCAAAGAGCAACCCAGAGCTTATTACTGTGCAAAAATTCTCCAAAATTCGAACTGAATTTGGGAGGTTAAACTTTTTCTTGCAACCTGAGGGGCCCAGTGTCCAGGCCTCAGGTTTTTGGGGGGTCCTCTGGACTCCCTGCCAGAGGCCCCTTCCTGGGAGGATCCTGTTTTCTCCAATTTCTACCTCCTTCCTCCAATCGAAAAATAGAACAATCTGACATCAAAACGTGCAACAGTCCATAACTTCAGCGACTTCAACATTGTCACACTCATCCTGGGTGATACAAAACTGAAGCTGCTAATAGGAGAGTTGGCATAAAGCGCGTAAACTCCTGGAGGACTCTTCCTGCCCCTACGAATATACTGAGGCCTGCACTGGGCCCTGTGTATCCTTTTCAGGCAAGGCCAAAAGCTATAACACAGTGTCATGGCCTACGACGCTCCCGCCCCACCTGGAGCTGGGGGGGAATCAAGTGGATACAAAACACTTACAGTGGGAACCCAGAGGTCCTGCAGGCTCAGGAGGGGCAGCTTCGGAGTTCTCCTCCGGCCTCAGTCCTCCAAGAGCTCACGGGGTGCACCGCTGGTGTCACCAGGGCACACGAGTGTGCTAGGGAGTGAATGCCCTCTCGCCAGCGTGCCCTTCACACTCCTGCGCATGTGCTGAGGAGTGTCTACAGAGGCGTCCGCCAATTTTGCCCTTTTGGCTTTGAAATGTAACGTTTTGACTACTTTTTCTTCAATCACAGTTTCGTACTCAAGTTGAGGTAATCACAGTTTTCCCTCGAAAAGGAGAGGAATTGGGACGGTGGGGCAGCTTGGAGAGAGAGCATTTCTATGGACGATGGTCAGAAACCAAGCCCACCATGCAGCGTGGCCCTGTATGGTGGGGGACGCCCACTCTCAAGGGCGGGCCTGACCCCTCTTTAAAAACTCTTTTGTGCAGCAGCCAGGAAATGGCTCGAGCTCCGGAACCTGGAGCTTTCACTGAAAAGTTCACAGCAATCCACCTGAGGGAACAGCTAGGCTCCCCGGCCCCCCACCCCCACCCCCCTTTTTCTAAGGCTGCTCAAGTTTGAGTTTTTAAAAAGAGCTCAGCAGAGCTAAAGGAAGCTACAGTAACTCATTGCTTATTTAATCAATTGCACTTAAAACCTACATATAAGTTATTGATTCTCAAGCAGAGGCAAGCCTACTGTTGACCCCAGCATCCGGCCAGCCGGATATGGGGGCTCCCAGACTTGGGCATCACAGATGGGCCCTCACAGCTAGAGGCTTATGGAGACAGGGCTGGAGCACAAGGACCTTTCAGAAGCCTTTTTTTAAAAAAAATTCCTCTTTTTAAGATGCAAGATTTCTTACTCAGTGGAACTTGGACTTCTGTCCATTTGGCTTCAAATATAAATTATTTCTTTCTACTCAGCACTGAGCAGCCCTTGACAATGGCCTTATTACTTCCTCGTCGCAGGCTTCAGAATGACCAGGCCATGTGCTCCTCCTGCCTGTCTCTCCCCTGAACCAGGGGTCTTCGTTAGAACCCCTCTATATTACTGGGAACTCTTTGCTGGTTTCAACTATGTGCTTTTTCCTAAGGCATGCAGAAATTACGTGAAATTCAGACAGCATTTACAATCCAGGCAGCTGGCGTGCGGAAGTCCTCCAAGACATCACCTGAATATCAGCGCCTGCGACCTTTCTCCCCCCATGAACTACAGAGGTCTGGAGGGGGCACACATGGGACTTTTCTTCAGCTTTGTGGTCAGTGGAAAATGAAGCCACTGGAAGGAATTCTAACCTGGACATTGAAATTCACAATTCCTGGTCCTCAGGAGCCAGACAAGCCCCGGGCCAGAACAATACCTGGAGGGGGGAATGGGTTTCCTGGAGTCTGTGTCTGGAAGCCAGGTCTCTCTCTCCCTGCAAGGCCGATGGAAGGGCTGGGCCTGGAGGCTGAACCTTCTTCAAGGAAACCCCACAAAAGGCTCAGACTCCTGAGCCCAAGACTCACCAGGAGGGTCCCTCCACAGTGAGGCACAGTGTCTACAGGGAAACCTGAGCTCTTGTTCCTGACTTGGGGAAACCAGAATAATGGGACCAGACCAGCCGAAGAACCAATCACAATGGCATCTGGATGTATCAACTCGGTGGCCTATTTCTGGAAAGCTACGTGCCTTTCTCCTCAGTTTAGTCCATAAAGGAAATCCCCTCAATTCAGAACAAGCTGTTGATATCAACCAAACTCCTGGCTCTGTGGGGTGGGCTGGGCAGGGCTTGTCCTGCTCTCCACAGGTCTGGGCCCAGGGCCAGCTCCTTCAATGGACGAGGCCTAAGCAGAGGAGACAGGCACTCTCGTGGGGATGCAGGCTTTCCTGGGGCAGTGGCTGAGACCCGAGGCCTACCATGGCCTGGTCTTCCATGTAAGGCCAGATTCTGGGCAACCAGGGTCCCTTCTGAGCCCCAGCAGATCCTTCGGGGAATCCAAATGCTTCTACCCACCCTCACACAATGCCTCAATAGCCCAAAGGAGACATTGCTATTAGACACCCAGTAGTCCCGGAGTGGGAGTTCCACAGGCAGAGAGGACCCTGTCTGTCCATCTTCCCGCACCATCCCCCACCCCCAATGATCCAAGTGATGCTCTTCGGAGCTGTATAGAGAATAAAGACAACATCCACTCAGGTCAGCACACACAGAACAGGGGCCGCCCTCCAGGGAGGAGCCTCCAGGAGGGCTGGGATCACGACAGCCGCCATCAGTGTCCAGGACAGACACCACGGGCCATGCGGGCGAGCTGTCCTCTAGGACCTCTGCTCGAACAGGTCGTGGAATTCCTGCTGCTCCAACTCCCGGTTGTACTTCTCGATTTCTCGGTTGGCTTCTTCCACGTAGTCATTCATGAACTGGTCCATGACTGGCACCTCATTAAGGAAGACAGCCTGCGCCCTGAGGAGTCCACCCCGGACTAGTAGGGACTGTGGTAGGTGAGGCAGGGATGCTACATTCTGGAGCTGGCTTGCACCATGGGCTGGGACGGGTTCTTTATACAGTGACAACATCACAGCTATAAAGAATGTGGCCAGAAAGAGGGGGTACTGGAAGAGGGTCCTGAAGGAGGTTTCATTAGCACAAGGCAGCACTTCACGCCTCATGTTTGTAAGCTATTGATCTGTATGTAATTGATCTTAATGTAATCAGGCAATTCCAACCCCTAAATGATGACCCAATGACTACAGGCTCTGAATGTCAACTCCCCGAGTCCGGGGATGGGTCCTGTCACACCTCAGTGCTACACTTCAGCTACTTCTCACTCAGCACATGCAGCCGCAGCCGAGTCACGTTACAGTAATCACTGAATGAAGGAGAAACCCATCACTAAGGATTTACACCTGCCTGAGGACAGGCTTGACACATCCCTAGTCTCCACACAGGGACCAAGCACTTCAAGGATACGTGGGTGAAAATCTGTCTTGTCACCAAAGAAGTTGACAAACTGAGTTCCGTTATAAAAGTAGCCAGCAGGTAGGGGGTCCAGGTGACGTTTCACCTGTAGGAGAAGAGTCCTGTTAGCATTACCTGACCGCTTTCTATCCTTCATTCACTCATTAGGAAAGAAATAAACCATCCAATCTATTACCCCACAAGACAGTCCAAGACGCCCTGGGGAAGGTCACAAAGTGCCACAGCAGCCCCAGGGGAACTCTGGCAGCACGGTCCACAGGGAGCTGTGCTGCTAATCCAAAGGCTGTACATCTCTGGTGGTTTGAATCCACCAGCAGCTTCAGGAGAGAAAGAAAGAAGGCCAGTCTCTTCCCACTCCCAGTGCAATATACAGCCTCGGAGAGGGTCACTATGGATCTGAACAGACCCACACAGCAAAGCTGATCAGGGCGAGCAATGACTGATAGAGGTCCCCGCCTCTGAGAAGAGGATGCTGGGAGTTCTTAACGGGATCATGCTTTGCTGTGCATGGTGGGTCTGGTTGTAACACACACTTCGTTGTCTGTCTCCCTTTCCATGTACTCTCATTTCCCTACTTCCTCACCACTGTCCCCCAGCATCACCTCCCCAAACAACCACCTACGCTCAAGGGCTGCTTTGAGGGGAACACACATTGCACTGACTACTCCCCCCGAAATGACCACATTTCCCTCCCCAGGAGCCCACAGAAGGCAAGGCCTGGCACACAGGGTTATCTATGCCCTGAAGGTGCTAGACATGCCATCCATTCATTCTGTGCAATCCACTCATCATTTGGGACTGGTGACAGTCCATCCTGGGTGCTGGACAGTGTCCCTTTTGGCCTTCACCCCTCAGCCCCACAGGAAAGGCTGTAGTATGAGTGGAGGGCCTGGGGCAGAGGCTGGAGCCCACAGAGGTGGGAAGGGCTCATCTTCCTCACTTCAGGATCCCACAACCTTCCATGGGCAACTCTGAGATCTAGACAGTATTTTCCTGGAGCCCTCAGAGGCTTATTTGTGACTTGTCTGGAACAGAGGGACTGGATAAACAAAGGCCTTCTGCAGCCCTCAGACAGGGTGAGAGAGCAGGGCCCACAGGGTGACATCACTGCTTCCTCGACAGGCAGCGGTCCTCTGTGATCTCACACACAGGCCACGAGAGAGGCTGCTCCACCCGCCTCCCTCACTGGAGCTGCCAGTCACTGAGCTGCCCTCTGGCTAGAGCAATGCCTGACTCCCAGCATGCCCTGCAACACAGCCCGCTCACACAGGGCCCTGAAGGTGGAGTGACACAGGCCGGGCAGGGCAGCCTGGGGCCTGAGGGGCAGGGCACTCACGTGGATGCTCCTGATTTCCTGCTGCGTCAGCATCCCCCTGGTCTTCAGAGCTCGCCTCTGAGGTTTCTGTACAGAGATAAGGGGTCAGGGCCCAAAGGGCAATGGGGTGACTGGAGTGGCTGGAGTCCTGGGCTCTGGGACCTGCTCTTCACTAAGAGTCCGGTAGGGGAGAAAGCACAAGGACGTTCCTGGCCCAGACACAGCACCCTGCTGCCCCGCCCGTGGGATGGCTACCTCCCCACCACCAAGCCAGAGTGCTGGGCAGGGAGCAGAGGCCTGTGCTTTTGGCAAAGGCCAATCTCTGCCTCTCCTTAGGTTCTCACTCCCCAGTCCCACTTCCAACAGGCAGAGAGACAAAGGGCCAACCCCAGCTTCCCACAGGCAAGCACCCTCAGGAAATCACCCAGGTGACTGTGAAGAGACCCAGCGGCAGGCAATTGTGCACTTACAGCAAAGCCAGGCCTCGGCCAGATCTACACCCAGAGGTCCTGGAGCAGCTAAACCCTGAGCTCTGCTTACAGCCTGGGCCGCTGAAGGACAGTCTTGACAGCCTGAAGACTCTCCCTCCTCGGCTCCAGGGCCGCAGGGCTTAATACTATCCATACTCAAGAGTCTTGATTTGCAAACAGCTCTAAAATTTTCTCTGTTATTTCTTTCTAAATTTAAGGAGATGTGGGGCTCAACATAGGTGAGCCTGGCAGGGTGGCACAGAACAGAGGGAGTTGCATTGCTAATTCAACGGCCATGGTCCTGCAGCGGTTCGAATCCACCAGCAGCTCCATGGGTGAAGGATGAACAGTCTCCTCCCATGTGGTCAACAGGCTTGGAAATCCAATGGAGGGTCAGCCAAGAGTCAGTTCCAACTTGACGGCAGTGAGTGAGTAAGAAAGACAATGTGGGTTTGGAACACCAGGTAGTTCCAAGGTCTACATGAATATGTATGCAATCTAGGTCTTAGTTAAACCACGTGATGACTGCAGTCTGCCCGAGAAGGGGTATTGGAAACAGCTATAAGAGTCTGGGCTCACCACTCGGTGGACAGCAAACCCCAGCTGCCTGAAGTCCGTCCCCAGTGATTTCCCTCCACTCTCCAAACATCTCTGAAAGTGCCAGTTACACGTGTTGGCGTCAATCAGTGCGGAGGTACGGGAGCAGCAGTGGAGGCGGGGGTCTGTCTCAAGGCGTGCTGGTCACCTCTGCACCAGGTCTGCCTGGCCTCTGGGAGACACTACCTGCTTCGCGCACTGCCGCAGCCAGTCCTTGACGCTGTCTTCCTTCAGGGAGCAGCCGATGAACACAAGGTAGTACTCCTGCTGCCCACCGCTGTCCTGAGGTGTGCTTCTGGAGTCAGGTGGTGGAGTGGGTCCCTCCAACACCGGCACGATGCTTAAAGAATTGGCTAGAGTGTTGTGGCAGACCTCCATCGTCCTCTCAGAGTCTGCAGAGAGAACACCCGTCACTGAGGCCCTGGCTCCACGTAACAAGGTGGCATTAAGACTGTACCGTGGCTGGCAAAATGGGGACAAATTCATGAGATGGATACTGGAGATAGGACTGATAGGGCTGGTGGCCTGAGGGAAGAGGGAAACCAGCTTCCAGCTGGGCTGACTTGGATAATAAGGTGGATACTCTAAAAACCCAGAAAGGGGATGCAAGACGAAAAAAGGCTTTAGGTGGAGGAAGAAGAGGGCTTTGACTTTGTACCTGTGACATCTGAAAGACAAAGATGGGCATGCTGTTGGAGAGGGGCCAGTCTTTGGAAAAAGACATGTGTCGAAAGGCGGAGGGTCAGCGAAAGAGAGGGTGACCCTCAATGAGATGGACTGACATGGTGACTGTAACAATGAGCTCAAATATATCAGATGGTGAGGATGGCACAGGACAGGGCAGAGTTCAGATCTGCTGGTCACAGATTCACTGTGGATCTAGATTAGATATCACCTAACAACAACAAGATCAGAATGGGAGACGCCCTTGTGGTCATTAGAAGGAGGGGGCTACCCACGTAGGAGAGGCAGAGGAAGGTAAATGAAGATCCACTTGGTGGCTGGTAAAGGAGAGTCTCAGGCAGAGGCCTGGGAGGAAGGACAGGTGTCATGGGAGGAGGCTACATCAACTGGGCAAATGCTGGGGAGTCACACGGGCCAGAAGGTTTTAACAGCGTTCACAGCCTCAGTCACGGATGGACAAGCCAGTGACTGAAGACTGCGGAGAAGGGCAAGGTCCTCCAGAAGTCAGGATGACAAAGGGATCCTGAGTGAAAGCTATTAACCTTCAATGAGAAGACGTCAATAGTGGGCAAAGCGCAGAGAACTATTTTTCTAGTTACGGTCTTAGAATGCCCACCAAATAACTGGCTGAAGTGTGCAAAGCTCTTGCTTTGAGAGCTTACTATACAAATAAGGTAGAGAGTTTACTATACAAATAAGGTGACTATGGTTTACCAAGGGGGATTGGTCAGTTCTGTCATCCTGCTAGCATTATAAAGGTTAACCTGTGTTCATAGCAGTGTTATTTACACTAGCAAGAAAATGTAAATAACCCAAATGCCCAGTAACAAAATGAATGGCCTGAGAACTTACGGTACATTCACACAATGGAGTACTATACAGTACTAAGAAGCAATGATTTTGTAAAATTCTATATAACATGTGAGAGTCTAGAAAGCATTACGCTGAGTGAAAGAATTCAGTCTCGTAAGGACAAAACTGCATAGGACTATTATTGTAAAGAAAAGGACAATTAGAAAGATGCAAATTAAAATCCAAAACGGAAAAAAATAAGTCCAAAAGGGAGGGGGAGTGGCACAGGGAGACAGAGAGTGGGGAGGGGAGGAAATCACTAGGTTGACAGAGTTTGGTGGGCAGGGTACATGTGAGGGAATTATGAAAGATCCAACGGAGGCCTGAAAAGCTGGGGTAAGAGTAGTCATAGATCAATAGTGATTAAATTCATAAAACACAATGTACACGAGTGAATGTAGGAATGCATAGAATGCAATATGCATGAGTGTATACAAATTTTGCATGTAAACCAATATAAAATAAAAATAAAGTGGAAAGATTAAAAATGTTAACCAACAGAGGTTGCGGGAAACCTCACTAACATCAAGACGAATCTGGAGCAGAGAATCAGACTGGGCCAAGAAGCAAGGGCTCAGAGCTGAGAATGTTCTAGATCCCAAAAGAAAAGACAAATCTGAAGATGGTGAGAGACAGTGGGCAGGGTGGGTGGTGGTGGTGGTGGTGGTGGTGATGTGCGCGCGTGTGTGCTGCCTGGCCCACAAGTGAGGCCTGAGTGCCTTAGCACAAGGCTTGCCAGTGGAGTAAAAAGAGTTGTCAAATTTGTTCACGCAGGGGCCACCACAGAGGATCCTATTTAGGTGTCCTTATGCAGGGTAAAGCCAGACACCAGTGGAGCCAAGACACTTAAAACACTTCCTTGTACAGAGCAAGAGACGCCTAAGAGTGCCCTGAGCAGGGGCTGCATGCCTCCCACCTTGGACAGTGGGTAATGGGGTTGTGAGACACCCATGCAGGCAGGGGTAGCGTGGTGAGAACCAGAGGCCATGGCCTGGGGAATCCTGTGTGGGGATCTTCCTGCCAGCAAGGGAGGGCACCACCGTGAGGCCTAGTGGCAGTGGGGTGGTAGCTGGAGGCAAGAGTTATTAACCTTGGTGTTCCAGCCCATCACTGTAAGAACAGACATGGGGGATTTGGGAAGGAATATTGTCCAACATATTTTTAGTAATAATAATGGGTATCACTTTGCCAAGACTGTGTATCATGTGGCTTGCTTCTATGGGTGAATGTAGCACCCACAGAATAACTGATGCTCACGGGCACATATGTTTCATTGCTAGCAGCCTGATCGGTGCCTGGAAGTTTGAGGCACAATTTGTCTACATATACAATAGAGACAGGTAAGTTTATACTGGGGGTTTAAATATTGACGAAAAAGTGCCTCAGGACCGTAACACATGATGTATCTTTGCCCCAGAATATTCCTTTCCTTGACATGACCAATTCCTATTTGTTCTGAGGCCTTTTCTGACTCTTGCTAATAGCTTAGACTGCGATGAGCTATTAGGTCACAAGGACCACAGGTATCGAAGGCTCCTCCAGGCCTAGTGGACACCAGAGAGAAAGCAAAGAGAGAAGACAGGATGAGTGGAGCTCAGCAGTGTGGTAACTCCTCAGAAAGAAGCCACAGGTGGTTCAACATGGGAGGGGTATGAGTCTTTGGAACAAGGAAATCAAGGAGAGGCCTTGGGCAGGTCACCTAGGGGAAGAGGTACAGGCCCTCCACTGTGGAACAGGAAGACTGGAGAAAGGAGCCTTTGGTTCAGAGTTGAGAATGGAAGACCCCACAGTGTAAAGATCCTAGGAGGAGGGTTTCTGAGACAAGAGTCTGCGGAACATGCATGGGGGCTGTAAACTGAGAAGGTTCTCAATCTTTCAGAAGGTAGGGGTGGAAATTCATAGAGTGTGGGGTGGGGATGATATCTGAGCAGTGCTCTCAAATCCAACGTTCCCCCCCTTACCTGAAAACTTCACTTTGCCCAAGATATGGTAGATGTTTCCAGAGAAGGGACTCGGCTTGATGGAGGCCTGAATTGCTGGTGAAAGAAGAGGACAGAGTTGTGACCCACCTGGTGGCAGAGGCCAAGTTCAGGGCAGCACAGGTGGGAGGGTTAGGGCCTGGGAGAGACCTCACTCAGGGCCCAAGGTTCACGTGCCTCCTGTTCCTCACTAAGGGCTCTGCTACTGCTCCCAGGGGTGTGGAGAGGCTGCTGGGGGTGGGGGGGGAACAAAATTGAGCGACCACCCAAGAAAGAGAAGCAGGGACTCCTGGGTCCTCAAATCCCTCTGCTCACTTTTTTTTTAAAATTTGTTTTATTTTTTGTGTGTGTACCGTCAAATCAGATCTGACAGGTACAGGAGGAGATTGCCCCTCCTTTTCCGGCAGAGCATCTGGTGGATTCGAACCACGTATCTCTGGGATTGCAGTGCACCTCTGCTCACTTTTGGAATGAAATGGGGAGGAAAAGAGCCAGGTGGAAATGGTGCCAGAAAGCAGAGGTACTCTGGGGCGCCCCTTCACTATGGTCAGGGTTGTGTCACAGCCAAGACTTACCTTTGCATTTGGCCACAAAGCGAGTCTTCTCTAAGGGCCGACCAAACCAGACGCAGATCTGAACCATTAGCGGAAAGACCGATCCAGAATCAAATATACCTTCATACCTTAGAAGAGTTAAGAAGTTATAAGGACAAGTAATAAAGGCTTTAAGTGTTATTATACACTACTGTGTTATGAATAGAGCTCTGGTGCATTAGAGGTAAGGAACTGCACTACTGATGCAAAGGTATGTGGTTCAAATCCACCAGTTGCTCTGTGGGAAAAAGATGGGCAATCTCCTCCTACGTGATTTACTGCCCCTGAAAACCTGCTGGGGGGTCAGCTGTGGATCAGTTTTGACTCAATAGTAAAGAACAACAACAACAACAACAACATGAATGAACCTATCATTTATCTTATAATAGTTGAGCTTCCCCCTGTTGAATGTATATCTATCTCTTTCATCTCCAGATTGTCTATCTCCGTTAGAGCAGGGTTTTCCTAGGAAGGAGGCCTTATCTCTCAGCCAAGAAGTTTCTAGAAGTCAAAGCCCTCAGCCTCCTCTGAAGCCTGCTAGATGCTCCCTGAGACTGGGGTCCTTCCTGAACATCAGAAGATGATGAGAGGATAGTGTAAGGAGCTCCCATCAACCCCCATCACGCATTTACAGTATGGAACCATCATTCCTTCTTCTGTTGAATTATCTGAGATGAATCCTCATGATTAGAAACCCTGGGCAGGGGGTGGAGGGGAGAAGAAGGAAAAGTGTGAGCACCTCGGAGAGAATAACTGACTCTGTTTCTAGAGCGGTGCTGCTATTATGTCCCCTGGAGTCAGAACTGACTCAAAGCTGAGCCTCCAGCAGGTTTTCAGAAGCATTAAATCACACGGAGGAAGACTGTCCATCTTTCTCTAGAGGAGCAAGTCGTGGATTTGAACCATGTAACTTTGGGGTGGGTATGCAACTCCTTACCACTAAGCTACTAGCTGTTTCCAGAGCAGACATAATTTTCTCAGCAATAAGCATTATAGTTTAAAAAATGCATTTCAGGGGAGCTCTGGTCGCCTAGTGGCAAGGACCTGAACTACAATCCCAGAGGCGCATGGTTCGAATCCACCAGATGCTCTGCCGGAGAAGGAGGGACAATCTCCTCCTGTACCAGTCAGATCTGATTTGACGGTACACACACACAAAAATAAAAAAAGGAGAAAAAAATGCATTTAATAGGTATTAACTGAAACAATACGACACAATTTACATTTCTGATTATTACTGGCACTGAACTCTGTTACCATGATTATTATTTATATTTGCTCTTAAATAAACTTTATTCATATCTATACTTTTCTCAAATATCTAAATAAATTTCCCCAAATTAACTATTAACTAACCCAAATTAGCTATTACCCCAGGCACTTCTGATACAAAAATTTTTCTGTAGTCTACTTTATTTTCTTATTAGTTTCTTTTGTTTATGGGCTGTCCTGAGCTTGGCCTCAACTCCCTGAGGGTAACAGCTGTCCTCTTCCTTCACCACCAGTTCTTGTCCACAAAGCACCATGGTTTTGAATTTTATAACAATGAATTTTATCTCTTCTTCTTTGTGGTCTCTTTAAAGTAAGGTAGTAGCATAACAGCACAGTGACTCTATGAACTTTGATCTATTCTGTGCCATCCTTACAATCATATCATTAATTTCTTCAGACATAAGGACCCACTTAGCTACTATTTAAGCAGGTGTGACATGAGGTTCCTTCTAGAAATATTTCTGAAAATCTGTGAGTTTTTAATTTTAGCTCCCAAAAGTGGTGGGTAAAGGGATAGTATGAAGTGGAGAGGCCTTGGGGGAGTGAGTAAGGTTAACTAAGACAATCTATATAAATATGAGAGATAATGCTGGCAAGTATTTAATCACTGTGGTCTATTAAACTTTCAACAGAGCAGAAATTAAGTGATTCATTCTATACCGTGGGTTGCAGCCAGATAAGATGGATCCGAAAGCCAGCTCTTTCATTTACAAGCTGCATGACTATGGACAAGTCAATTTAACCCCCTGCTACTTCAGTTACTTTCTTTATAAAATGAGGAAAACAATTCACTCCACCTCACAGACTTGGCATGAGGATTAAGGCAGGTAATGTCCTTAAATATCTTTCTCTCAGGAGGCCAGCGCTCTGGAACTGCACTGTCCAACATACACTGCTTTTGCCAAGTGTGGTCATTAGGCACTTGAAACGTGCCTTATATGCCTGAAAGACTGGATTTTTAGCTCTGTCTGTATTACCTGAAATAGTCCCACGTGCCTGGTGGCTAGAGTGCAGTCTGAGCACAATGCCCAGCACACAGACACTGGCCCGCTCAAGCCTTCCTGGTCCTTAGCACTACTACAGAGCATTTAGAATTCTTTCTTCTGGAGGGAGATTCACAGGCTGTGAGGGGTCTGCAGAGAGGAAACGTCCCCTGGGTCACACCACCAGGGGACCTGAGAGGACTGAGGGTCCTTCTCCTTCACCTGGACACTTACCCCTCTTGTGCTCTCTGCCTGCCACCTCAGTTTCAGTACCGGTTAGACGGCACTAGGCTACGGCTGTGCTTGGAGCCTAAAGGGCAACTCCCTAAATCTCCACAATCCAGGGAGGCTCCCAGCTTGGAGGCCAAGATGTGGAACAAAAGGTTCCTGCAAGGCTGGTGGCTGTACAGGGCAGGCCAGTCTACCTACTGCTATGAGTCACCTGTGTACAGAACACCTGGTATTTTCCTTTTCCACAAGAGATAAAATGCTGGATTTACAAGAAATCTTAACTATTTTTCAATAATGATACTTACCAGCCAGGGTACATTAAATATCGAGCTCGGAGCATCTGAGGGCTGGAAAAACTATTTTCTGAGAGAATCAGCTCAATGTCCTCATTCCTTTGAAAATACACAGACAAGATCTAGGTTAAATTAGGACCAGCAATATTAACTTGCACATTTTTTTGGTATAACCCCAGGAATTATTTTATTTAACTTGCACATTTTTGTATCCCATCCACCCCCATACACATACACACCCACAGCCACATGTACACAAGCACACAGGTGCGTGCTTTTTCCTGCTGCACTTTTGAAACTTACATAGGGATCATGACATTTTACCCCTAAATACTTCAACACAGGGTATTCTCTTTACAGACTCTCAACGCTGTTATTACCCTCCAGAAATTTAATGTCACAGAACAGCAGCTCCAGCTACTCGTTTTTGGATGATCTTCAGTAGAATCTTGCTTGCATGTGAAATCAATGACACTGTTCTGTAGTTCTCAAAAATGGCAATGCCATGAAAGATAAGAAAGGGTAGAGGAATGGTTCCAGAATAAATATTGCCAATTCCGTGTGTGCTCTTCATTGATGATTTTTTTTTTTATTAGACTGTTGCTTCTCGCAACGTGAACATGCGTGCAGATCTCTCGGGGATCTTGTTGAAATGAGAGTTCTGACTCAGCAGGTCTAGATTGGAACCTGAGAGTTTGCATTTCTGACAAGCTCCCGAGTAGCTGGAGCTGCTGTTCTGTGACATTAAATTTCTGGAGGGTAATAACAGCGTTGAGAGTCTGTAAAGAGAATACCCTGTGTTGAAGTATTTAGGGGTAAAATGTCATGATCCCTATGTAAGTTTCAAAAGTGCAGCAGGTGACCCAACTGAGTGTGGAAACTACAGAACAGTGTCATTGATTTCACATGCAAGCAAGAT